TAGAGCACCTGCCTAGAATCCCCCAGTGAGGGGCTGGGATGTGGCTCAACAATAGAGCACTAGCCTAATATGCTCAAGGTTTTTGAGTTCCATCCCCACCACTGCAAAAAAGTCAATGTAATAATAGTAAGAGAAAAGGGGGGGCTCAAAGGCACATTTGTACACGCCCTGGTAAGCCACAGGATTTACCTTTTGACTTGGGAATTACCAGCGTGCCACACATTCCGCCTCCCAGAGGCCAGCATTCACCACAGCACACATATGCACACTCTAACAGACCACAGGCCAAGCAGCCTCTGTTTTCACAGGACCCAGGAGACCATGGGCACCTCAAGGCTCTATACCCTGGTGCTGGTGCTGCAGCCTCAGCGCGTCCTCCTGGGCATGAAGAAGAGAGGCTTTGGTGCTGGCCGCTGGAATGGCTTCGGGGGTAAAGTGGAGGAAGGAGAGACCATTGAGGACGCGGCTAAGAGGTGAGGAGGAGGGAGTTCTCACCACAGAGCCAGCCTCGATGGGGACGAGGACCTTGAGAGTAGGAAACATACCCTGGAGACCTGCAGATGCTATATAGACCAGGCTGGCCTTGAACTCACGGAGATCCACCTGCTATTACTCCCAGAGTACTGGGATTAAAGGCAGATGCTACTTCCATGCTGGGCTTTTAAGTTTTTTTAAGGGGTCTTTTTTTTTTTTAATGTGCATTGGCATTCTGCTCACAGGTCTGTATGTAGGATGGTGTCAAATCCCCTGGAACTAGTTACAGACAGTGTGAACTGCTGTGTGGGTGCTGGGAATTGAACCCAGGCCTTCTGGGAGCACAGCCAGTGCTCTCAACCGCTGTGTCATCTTTCTAGCCCTCATAAAGGGTTTTTCTCCATATTTCAGTAGGCCTTTAGTTATGTAGCCCTGGTTGGGATTGTAGGTGTTCACTACCATGCCTGAACTTTTGAAGTTGGAGGTAATCCCTGAGTTGGATATAACAATGTGTCTGCATGGTGTCCTCCTGCAACATAAATCTCACAAGTCCTGAGGCTGCAATGCCACGCCCTGCCCTGTGCATGGATGCCGTGCTCTGAGCTGCCTAACGCCACTTCCTTCCTACCACCTCTGCCGCAGGGAGCTTCAGGAAGAAAGCGGCCTGACAGTGGATGCGCTGCACAAGGTGGGCCACATCTCGTTTGAGTTTGTGGGTTCCCCCGAGCCAATGGACGTGCATATCTTCTCTGCTGAACACGTGCATGGAACGCCCACAGAGAGTGACGGTGAGCCTTGGCCCTTCCCCCGCCTTCCCACCGTGGGCAGGGATGTGTGCCCAGCCTCCCTTGCCTGCCTAGGAGAGAGGAACTGGCCCTTGCCAAGTGCAGGCCCCAAGTCTGCGCCCACCTTCCTGTTTGCTTAGCCTCCAGACCAGGGGCAGCCTGGAAAAGCTGCCTTGTAGCTCAGATATGAGCCCATTTATTTATTTCACAAGATAGGGCAATCAGCTGTACATACTGGCACATGCATTTTTATCCCAACACTTGGGAAGAAGGGATGGGGATATCTCTGTGAGTTCAAAGCCAACCTCTTTCAAAAAAAAAAAAAAAAAAAAAAAAAACAGCAGAAGCAGCAACAGCCAGGCAGTAGAGACGCACACCTTCAATGCCAGCACTGGGGAGGCAGAGGCAGTTGGTTCTTTATGAAAATCAGTAAGATTGGCAAACTTTGGGAGCTCTAGTTCAAGGCCAACTTGATCTCCGGGGTGAGTTCCAGGACGGCCAGGGTCACACAAAGTTAAAAACCAAAAAAAGAGAAGGAATAGCTAGCTGGGTGTGCGGCTCAGCTGGCAGGATGCCTCGTTAGCAAGCACAAGACCCTGGGCTCCACCCCCAACAGGGACATGAACCGAGTCTACAATCCCAACACAGGTCAGGTCTCAGTGAACGAGCAAGTAAGGAAGTAAGCAGGTATGACAGCGCAGCACATGACCCCGGATCTGGGGCACAAACGCTGGGTCTGGATGCATACAGACAGAATGGGTTCTGACCCTCTCAAAACCAAGAGACCCTCATGAGGATGAGCTCTTCTCAGATAAGCTAGGTTATAATGGTGCACATGCATAGCCCCAGAACCAAGCAAGCTGAAGCAGGAGGACTGTCTTGAATTCAAGACCAGCCTGGGCTCCATACTGAATGTCAGGCCAGCCAGAGCACCAAAGAAAGTCCCTGTGTCCAAGAAAATAGAACAAAGCAGGCATGGGTTGTACCAACTACATATATACCCAGCAGCAACCAGAAATCTGAGGTAGGAGAATTACTGCTCATTCTAGAGCAGCCTGGGCTACAGTGTGGAAATCCTGTCTCAAAAAGCTCCAGGGGCTAGAGAGATGGCTCAGGGGTTACGAGCTCTTGCTGTCCTTGCAGAGGGCCCGTGTGCTTTTCCCAGTACCCACAGGCTGCTCCTGACTGTCCACAGCGCCACTTCCGGGAGATCTGATGCCCTCTTCTGGCCTCTCTAGGCGCTGCATGCACACCGCATGAGGGTGCACATAAACTAACTTTACAAACGGTTTAAAGAAGGGAGAACGTTAGAAGGCTGGTTCAGCAGTTAAGATCACATGCTGCTCTTGCAGAGAAACCACATTTGGCTCCCAGTACCCACAGCAGGGGCTCACAACTGACTAACAGCAGCCCCTGACCCAATGCCTCTGGCCTCTAATAGGCACCCAGACTCGTGCCTACATCCACACACAAACATGCATGAACATATGCAGCTAAAAATAAAAAAAAAATTTCGTAAGTAACAACCAAAACGTCCAAACAGCTGGAGAGAGCTCTCAGTGGCTACGAGCCTAGTCTTCCAGAGAAGCCACGTTCAGTCTCCAGCACCCACACTGGGCACATGTGACTGTGCCCATGTGTGGCTCCAACTCCCCTCTGGCCTCCACTGGCACCCACACATGTGGCATTTGTTCACACAGATATATCCCAATACTTAACAGTTCTGGTTTCAAGGCCAGCCAGGACTACATACTCAGACCATGTCTCAAACAAAACAAAATTTCCCAACGAGTGTTCCACACAGATCCAGGGTGACCCCTCTCGGGTCATCTGAAACCCGTGTTCAACATCCGTGTTCTTCCTTACCCCCTGCCCCAGAAATGCATCCTCAGTGGTTCCAACTGGACCAGATCCCTTTTGCAGACATGTGGCCGGATGACAGCTATTGGTTCCCACTGCTGCTTCAGAAGAAAAAGTTCTGTGGGCACTTCAGGTTCCAGGATCAGGACACCATCCTTGACTACTCGCTGCGTGAGGTGGATGATCTCTAACCCAGAGGTCTGCTTCTGGCCGGATGCTCCTGTTTTTGCACAGCCACAAGCTGTCAGTCCAAGGGCACCCTGAAGAAGGGCTGGCATTTTCTGTCTGCAAGATATGGCTGAAATGTGAAATGTCGCCGAGACATGTCTCAACATTTCATCCCTACCTACTGGTACTCTTTTAGACGGTTATGGCACTTGTAGAAGGCAGAGCACTGATGGGGAAACTGAGTCACTGAGGGTCTAAGATGAAAGACAACCCTTAAGGTCTTATGAGTAAGCCCCACTTCCTGTCTGCTCTCTGCTTCCTGACTGATGACACGACCAGCCCCCTCACACTCCTGCCACTATGCCTTAAGTGCTGTGAGAGACTGTCTCCCTTGATCTGTGAGCCAAAATAAACCCTTGCTCCTCCACGTTACTGTGTGATTGCAGCATCAAGACAGTGAGTGGAGAGGAGACCTGCCAGGCAGCGAGACAGCCAATTCTGTCTTGTTACACTACCCCAGACAGAGTGGACAGACACCAAAGGCTGAGGTAAGCGCTGTTTTCACACAGGGATGACAATCTGAGTGAAAAAGTAGACTCTCTGAAGTGTTTGGTGAGTGCAGGCTGCCAGAGCGGACACCCAAAGAAAATCTGCAGGAAGCAGGTACATAGAGAGAAGCTAGTGCCACTGGTCTCACGTGTCTCCGAGGAAGACAAGTATGTCTCTGGCCAGGAGCTGGGCTGCCAACCAGGACCAGGACTCCAGTTAGGGGCTGGTCTGACTGAAAGAAAGGCTGTATCCAGAGGATTATGTAGATCCAGGGTAGGCAAATCAGGTAGAAATAGCCAATCAGAGCAGAGCCTGCAACACCTGAGAAGCACTGCCTCAGGGTTCCAACCAGGTCCCTGCTGTGGGGTGGCAGTGGCGCATCTTAGACCTCACAATGGAAGTGATTATCAATGGTTCTTGAAAGCATGCTATTTTCACGCTGCATCTGAACTGTCCCTAACTGCTTCACATAGAAACATTGCTGTTTTCAGGAGGGAGCTGTTAGGGAGATCCAAGAGGGCTGAGTGATGGCTCAGTGGTGCTGTTCTTGCCGAGGACCAGAGTTCAGTCCCCAGCACACACACTGGGCAGCTCATAACCACCTGTAACTTCAGCTTCAGCAGCTGACACCCTCTTCCGACCAGGCACCAGCACTCATGTACACACACCCCTATACACACACACAATTTACAATAAAGTATACACACATAGGGTAATCATACTCAGAAGCTAGAGATAGCTTAGCTGAACCTCCATAAAGCTAAAAGGACGTTAGTGCTGAGATTGGGGCATCATTGCAGCCCTTCCTCTTGACTCCCTTTTGATCAGGTGCATGGGGTGGCAGTGATGTGTATGAGTACAGGCACCATGGAAGTCAGAGACGGCGATGCCACTGGAGTTGAGGTGAGAGGACATTGGGAGCAATCTGACGTGGGCACTAGGAACTGAACTCGGGTCCTCTGAAGAGCAGCAAACGCTCTTAATTGCTGAGCCACCTCTCCAGCCCTTATGGTGTCAGTCTTCCTGTCAACCTGACATAATTTAGAATGACCTGGGAAGAGCGTCTCAGAGAGGGCTGCAGATCAGGACGGCCTGTGGGCATGTCTGGGACGGTCCTGACTCCTCCCCTCGGAAGGGAGCGCCGCGCCATGCCAGAGTGCAGAAAGCAAGCGGGGCTGTGGCTCGCACTCTGACCTGTTCTCTGCTAACTCTGGAGGGGACGTGTCCAGCTGATTCAAACCCTCACACTGCGATCCTCTGCTCCCCCAAAGTGACATGGTTAAACCCTTTTGCACTATATTTCTTTCGTTGGGGAAATGGAACTCAAACAAATCCAGCCCTAAAGACAGATCACAGATGAGTGTGAAGTCCTACTTAGTGAGTTAGTGGGTTCTCTGGGGTTACTTACAGGAATGTGGGTGAGGGCTTAGCTCACAGGAGCAGGGACTCTTCAAACAGCGAATTCAGCCTGGGCTAGGTCTGACAACTGCAGCCCTGGAGGAGGCTCAACAGGTCAGAGTCTCCTCCCCTTGGCAACTGTCACTGTGGGCACCACCTCAGGGAGGGATCCCGTGAGCCCTGTACATCCCAGGTTCTGAGTCTGAGGAGCCTCCCTCCAGGGGGAGGGAGGAAGCTACCATACAACACTCTGCCAATAGAGACCCTCAGGTTAGGGGCAACTGCCCACCCCAAAACTCCAGACTCCAGTTTCCAAGACTCATTTGACCATGCTCATGGGGGTTTCTGAAGAGAAAGTGCAGCGTGGAAACCATCTGTAAACACTTCCAGTTTATTGGGTGTGGCAGTAACTGATTCCCGCAGTCCATAAAGTGCTTCATCCATCAAGCGGAGCCCACATCATCCGCTTCCCGACTCCCTTCACCCAGAGCCCCACTGCCCCTGCCCAGCTGTGTCAGCCAGGCAGGCTAATTCAAAGTAGGGAGCACCCAGAGAAACTGACGCCTTCACTCCCACTCTGCTGGCCCCAGGACTGTCCAGTTAAGGCTAAAGCTGGGCCCCACTCGACCCAGGAAAAGGGGCAAGCAAGAGGGAGATCCAGCGATACTTGTGCTTCTCCATCTTTCTGGCAGCCACAGGCATGCTGTGGAGTGGCACACAGCTTGGGCAGCAGGATGCCAGAAGCGTGCAGGGACTCTTGGTTCCACTGCACCCTGGGAGGAGAACCTCAAGTTTGGAGTCAGGTACCCACAGCCCAGTCTAGGAGTGACTGTGTGAGAAAAGGCAGGCTCTATTGCCAGGCTTGGGGTCCTGGAGCACTAAACACAGGGGCAGGAGATTGGTAAAGGAAACAGCTCACATCCAGGTGGAACCTGCTGCCCGACAGCCTGGTGGGAAGCAGCCCACACTCTTGCTCCTGAGGTCTGGGCACCCAACAGGGATGCCCGTCTCCAGTGCTCCTCCACAAGCCCTCCTCACTCCCACCCTCCAAAACCCAACACAAGAAAGGACCCCGAGCCCTGATCCACTGTGGACCTGGGCTCCATGGATAGCACTGGAGTGAAATCTGTCCTCCAAAGCACTGAACCCTGCACACCCCGCTCCCTCCTGCAGCGCACTTCTCGCCTGGCCTCACACACCTCCCAGAATGTCTGCACGCCTAGCCTATGGTCCCGTTCCCACCCTCAGGGATTGAGCAGCTCCTTGCCAGGCCATAGGGCAGGCCAGTCCTCCAACCTGTTTTGCTGCTAGGTTAACCCCTAGGCTCCCCCAGCACTCAGTGACCTTCCACACTCCCGCAGACACCACTTGCTGGGTACAAAAGGCCCTTAGCACTGTGGGCACAGGGCACAAACCATTCCAAAGCACCCTAACTTCCCACTACTGACCTGATCAGCAGGCCACAGGGCAGGCAGGGGGCACATAGACCTCCTGCCCAGGAGCAGGGAGGCACAAAGACCTCCAGCACAGCCCACAGGCAGCTCAGGGCAGTGGCTGCTGCCTGGAGGGAATCAGCCAGGGACACTGTTTGCAAAGAGGTTTAGTGAGGCCACAGGAGCTCTGCTGTGGGCCTTGCCCCTAGTGGGGACACACGCCGTCCTCCTGCGGGGAGCGGGGTGGTGTCAACACACTGTGAGGTCCAGAGAAGAGGCAGCTCAGCTTCGGCTTCAGGTCATTCCACACTTTGCTCATCTGCAAGAGGAAGAAAGGAAGGTGGTGGGCGGCCACAGCCCGGTCTGCGACAGCCCAGTTCCCCTTCTTGTCATCTGGTGGCATGCACAGAAGGGCATTCACATCACACTCCCTCGCATGCCCAGCTCCATAACCGAGCTACTGATGGGGAAGGCAAACCACCCCTGTTCTCTCAATGTTGGCCCACCCTCCAGAGGCAAAGACAAGGATTGCAAGTTCCAGGCTAGCCTGGGTTACATAGTGAGACCTAAAAACCAAAAGACAGGGGTGGGATATAGCTCAGAGTTAAGAGTTAGCTTATTAAACATGCGTGAGACCCCAAGTTTGTTCCTCAGGACCCCATACAAAGAAATAAGAAACTTAGTAACTGCTATACGATAAGATGCCCTTGCACTCCTAACCTGCCCGTCTCCTGAGTGCTGGGATTACGGCACGAGCTGTACTGGGGATGGAACCCTGGGCTCTGTGCATACCGGGAAGCTCTCTACCCACCGAGCATCTCTACCAGCCTCGATGCGGTGAAGGCAACTGGGCAGCCAAGTACCAGGAACTCTAGTAGAACAAAAATTCTAACTTGAACCAGTTACTTCTCACCCAACACAGAGAGTCCAGCCATCCTGTACCCATCAAAAACACATGTTACTACCGCCTGACCTACCTCTGTGTTCCTTGTTGGCAGGGACCATCAATGAGCCCAGCCATCTGTCCCAGATTCTGCCCACCACCTGTCCCAGAGCCCAGGTGGATATGACACTATCTGTCTGTGACCATGACACGCAGGTCAACATCTGGAAACTAGTGAGTTGCCCCTCTGTACTGTTTTTCAGATCTTGGAAGCACACAAGTCAAAAGAGGCCCCGAGGGCTGAAGGTGTAGCTCAGCTGACAAAGGGTCTGCCTGGCATTCACGAAGCCCTGGGTTTGGGGCCCCAGCACCACATGTCAGGTGTGTGGCATGTGTTTATCATCCCAGCACTCAGGAGGTTGAGGCAGGATATCAAAACTTCAAGGTCTGACCTTCAAGATGGCTTACCTGGTAAAAACATTCCCTGCCAACCTGATGACCTAAATCTGGTCCCTATAACCCACATAGAGCAGACAACGAAATGCCCTCTTGGAGAGAGAGAGATGAGGCTCCCATAGCCAGCAGGAGGCACCAGAGTCACTTGGAAAATCAAGGAAGTCAAGCTAGGGAAGTTGGGTGTATGTTTGTGGGGGCGGGGGGAACCACCTACACGGGCTAGAAAGGCAGATGTCATCAAACTCCCCCTCCAAATGCTAATCAGAATAGCCCATCTTGCAGCAAGCCACTTAGGCATAGGCCAGGCTGAAATCAGCAGGCTGTCCCTCTCAAGGTTAGATAGCACTTTCTAGACCAGACACAACTCCTGCTGGCTCTGAATATATCCAATGTTGTCTGTGCTGGGCTGGTGCTGGCTTTGACGTTAGTGCTCTGAAGTCAGACTCCACAGCAAACCAAACTCGGAGCTACGTAAACAGTTAGGAGGGCCGAGGGGATGGCTCAGTGCAGAACGTGATGCCATGAATATTAGAAGCCTGGAGTTCAGATGCCCAGCACCCTGGTAAACATCAAGTGGATGTGGCAGCCCACAAAGGGAGGCAGAAGCCACCTGAGCCTCCTGGCTAGTTAGCCTAGCAGAACCAGTGAGCTCTGGGTTCAGGTAACTGCAACTCCGCCTCAATATAAAAGGTAGGGAATGGT